GAGAGAGAGAGAGAGAGAGAGAGAGAGAGAGAGAGAGAGAGGGGGATGGTGGTGGCAGTTTGACAAAGAGGTGAGAGAGAAAGGGAGAAGGGAGAGACGGTGATGCTGGTCTAATAGAGAGGAGGGAGAGAGAGGGAAAAGAGACAAATGTGGCAGCGGTGGTCTAACAAAGAGGAGAAAGAAAAAGGGAGGAGAAAAATTTGTTTATGGGTGGTGGTGGTTAATTGGTTGGTGGCAAATCAGGTGGGTTCGGGGAAGTGTGTTGTCATAAGTAACTGTTTGTCAGTCTAAAGGTATCCTGGGAAATTCAATACCAAATCAAAGATGCAAAGTAAATTTTAAAACTATGAGGGCAACTCTTGAACTCAGTCCAAACCATATGTGGTGTCGTTGTAATTATCCTAAAATTACAGGGAACATGTTATAAAAATGAGGATGCTTTGGTCTTAGTGATCCTTGCATCTTTTACGTGTCTTGCATGATTCCATCTGACAAGTGATAATTTGTTTGTTAGACTCGAGTACAAGCTTCAACACTTAACTTTCCGGAAGTCATCTCGAAGATTCCCCAAATTGGAGTCCAAGGATTATACAGAGGCTCAATTCCAGCAATTATTGGACAATTTTCAAGGTTCATTTTTCCCTCCTTTTCTTCTATATTCTTGATGATATTCTCTTATTTAGGTATAGAGTAATTTATATGATAATGCAGCCAGGGCTTGCGAACTGGAATATTTGAAGCAAGTAAGCTTGTGTTGATAAATGTTGCTCCAACACTTCCAGACATTCAGGTAAGGTTATTATTGCAATATCTGGCTGGCCTTTTGTGCAAGGGATTTCATTCCAATTTCAGTTTTTTTTTTATTGAAATTCATTAATATTTGTGGTGTGTGTGCACATATGCCATATTTGATAACCTAAGCGTTGCATAATTTCTGAGCCTTTTAGACCACAGTTGTTTTCAGAGAGTGTTAAGCCAACTATTAATAATGAGTGATGCCGAGAAAGCATCTCCTTATAATCAACACCATAAGTTTGAGTCAATCCCTTTTGCTATGGCAAATGTCAAAGCAATATTTTCTGATTGGGCATGGAATTGTTTATTACATCCTCTGACCCTTCTGTCTGAGTTCCTATCTAAAGGATCCTATCAAACCAACTTACCCTATTTTTCCCTATATCATAATTGTGCTTATTTTGTAAATATCCAAAACTAGCCTGTCTTTACTCACATATTTGGTCTTGCTATTTACCGAGGTATAAATCCATGAATGGGGTCTATGTATTACCCAATGTTGATTCCAAATAACATCACTGTCTCTGTCTCTGTTGTTTCCAGATGTCAACAACTGTCCTTTGTTGGCTGCCCAGATTCTATACTAGAGCATGGGATTTCTCTGCTTGCACCATATCCTTAAGCACATCTAGAGGAGAGTTCTTCCAGTCTAATATTAACTAAAGGAAAATTCTACTATTGAGGTGGTTGCTGATTGATTCAGCCTTTAGTTCCCAAAAAAAGAGAGAAGTAAAGTATCTCAGTAGAAGAATAGTGATGTAAAAGTAACAACCACCTGTTTCTTTTTCGTAACTTTATAAAACTGCTTGCATATAGCCTGCAGGATTGGTACTTACACCGTAGTATGCAGAACATGGGAACCTGTAGTATTTCATTATAATAAATGAGGTCTCTTGTCTCTCTCTCTCTCTGCCAGTGAGTGCGCATGTATGTGTGTTGGCATATGTGTGTTTGTGTGTGTGGTGAGGAGTAGGGTGGAGAGGGGAAGGGAGAAGTGAATCTGAAGAGCTGCAGAAGACAATGTTTGCCAAATGAGACATGAACAGGGATAATGTTAGCTTCTCTAAAATTTAACAGTGATTTAGAGTACTCAGGAAGTTGCTTTTGTATTGCCTTGATGTTTAGGTTCAATCTATAGCATCATTCTGCAGCACTTTTCTGGGAACTGCAGTGCGGATACCATGTGAGGTATTAAAGCAAAGATTGCAGGCTGGAATATTTGATAACGTAGGGGAGGCGATCATGGGTACTTGGCAGCAAGATGGTCTTAGGGGTTTTTTCCGTGGGACTGGTGCCACTCTGTGTCGTGAGATTCCATTCTATGTTGCAGGCATGGGGCTTTATGCTGAATCCAAAAAGGTGTGGAGTTTTCCTCCTGTAAACATTCATATATTTGTTTCCTGGCATTCAGTCAAAGACTTTCTTTTGGTAAAATGTTTTCTTAGGGTTTGTTCCATTTACAATTTACCATTGTTTTGACAATAGATGTAGCTCATATTGTGTTCATATATTCTTCTGTACTTTCTAATTAGCGATTCAAATGAACAAGTTTTGGTGCCATGTATGTATGTCCTGCAACATGGATGAGAGGTACAGTTTTGAAGTTTGCAAAGTGTTTGGCTGCAATGGTGACTGTTTACCTCCACACTTGTTTAGCTGCATTCTTGGAACTATGTATTCTATACATGAGAAGAATACAAGGGCAAGAGATGAACATATCCTATTTCTTAAAAAGTTACTAACCACTTTTGGCTACACATCACCAAGCACAATCATCTGTAATAAACACCTACGACGCAAGGATTTTGAATTCTGGATCTGGAACCCTAGTTGTAAATTTTCTGATGCCCTTTCTGTTTCCATAGATCATGAGAATCTCCTAGGTTATGGAAATGCCTAGAGTTAGCCAAATTGGCCGTCTTCCAATTAAGCATGTCCTTTAGGCAATCAATACAGCATGCAAAACAATGTCCCAATTGCTTTCAGATGATAGATATAAATCAAAGGATCTGAAATATGACAAAGCCTGTTGGTAAAGTTACCGTAGGACTCTGTGGAAACCTGGCCTCAATTCTTACTATTGAGCCTACTAAAGTAATATGAATCCTTGTGACTACATACCCTATGATTTGCTGGCTAATTTTTTAAGGGATGGGTTCCTAGGAATGTGTTTTGCTGTGCTTGTAAATCAATAAAATTCAAGTTTGTGAATCAACTTGTAGACATGCTGAAACCTGGAAAGACATATGTGCTTTAATAGTGGGAATTAGACATTTGGCTGATTTGTTGATTGGTTGCCATGTCTAGTTGGGATCGTACTTGGGTTTATTGCGACTAGAGGAAGCAACAACGTTGTTTAGGCCAAGAGTTCATTATCAACAAAACAAATTAACCAGTTGGTCAAACAATTGAAATGCTGACATATGTTGGTGTTTATGTTGTAAAATTTGAAATGTCCATCAGTCAAAAGAACTTCGTTGCTAGAAGGAAGGAGTCCCTTCACATGAACTCATTTACTGACACGGACTCTTCAAGCCTTGTTTTGCATTTAAGCAGACGTTAATAGTGGTAGAACACTTTTCTTTCGGTTTTCTGTGACCTATTATCCAGGAAATATACATTACATGATTGCTTTACAGTCTATCCCTCTCTCTCACCATATATTTTTCTTCCATGCTGTTTTCAGGTTGTCCACCAGCTTTTGGGGAGGGATTTGGAACCCTGGGAAACAATTGCTGTTGGGGCTTTATCTGGCGGGCTAGCTGCTGTTGTAACAACACCCTTTGATGTAATGAAGACTAGAATGATGACTTCCAAGGGTCGGTCGGTGTCAATGTCAATTGTAGCCTTCTCTATTCTCCGTCGTGAGGGACCACTTGGATTATTCAAAGGAGCTGTACCCAGGTTCTTTTGGATAGCTCCACTTGGTGCTATGAACTTTGCTGGCTATGAGCTTGCCAGGAAAGCCATGGACAAAAGTGAGGATCAAACTGCTGAGCAGTTTTCTCAGAAAAAGTTAGCCAGTTCTGGGCAAGTTTCTGAGAAGTAGGAACAACTATCGACTTCAAGAACCCCTGGGGCTTTATTTTTTGTTATTATACCATGTGAATGCTGCTGGAAAGTTTTGAGCCTTTTCCGGATTTAGCAGCAGCATGTTCTTCAGCTTCAATCTGTTGACATCACTACATTTTTTGTCCTAATTAACTGTGAAATCTTTGAGTTTCTTTGCTTGTTTAAAACTTCTGGGAATTGCCCCCTGATGGTATGCACACATATCCTCAGTTTTGTTTTGTAGACCATATTGTACATTTGTGCAGTTAATGCTTCCCTTTCTCTTTGATATCAACACTTTTTATTTTTTGTAGTTTCAGTTAATTTGACATACTTTTCTCCTTTCAAGTGCTATGAACTGTTTTTTTTTTTTTTGTTGAGGTTGATCTGTGAGTATAGTTGGAATTTGCAGGAGAAACATCCTTGTAACCTAGAAAGGAAATGAATATCTTGCTCACTTCTGCACTCATTGATGCATTTTTCCTTTTCTCTTTAGCATTACTTCCGCCAAAAAAAAAAAAAAAATTCCCCAGCGCTACCAAAAATTTCACTAAGTTGTTCAGGTTTGAAATTTGTGCTGGAAAATAGGTTTGAAATTTACAAGATTTGGAAGATTCAAATCTTCTAATTTTATGTCGTATTTGTATCGTCTTATATAAATACAACCCTAGTGTTAGCCCAACTTGACCTAATACCTGGCTGCCCCTATTCTGCCAACTGTTCAGCTTGCTTCAGCTACCCTTTTGTTTATCAGTTCTCGGTTTTAAGCCTCAATTTTTTTTTATTTTTGTGATATTGCTTACCGTCATTGCAAGTGCTAACGGAATGAACTTGAAATTCAGCTTGATCAAGCAACCTTATTGAGATTTGATCTGAGTTTATGTCGGGTAAAGATAGAGTGACGAAAAATTATTTCGTGCATAAGGAGCCAATTGGTTGTTGGTAAGGAGCATGAGCGGGGGGAGCTTACACAAATAAGTGAAGAGAACCCTGTAGGGCCTTTCTGAAGTTTAGCCCACACACGGCAAGGGGAAAAAGAAAAGGGAGGGGGATAAGACTGCCCTTAGCCCTCATAATCGAATTCCAAACCGGCGTCACGTTCTGATCAATATTCACTTTTCATATTTAAAAATAGGGTAAAAAAAAAATAGTCCTTGAATTTTGCATTTTTGGTTTAAATTGGTCTGGGAACTATAAATTATCTCAATTTAGTCTTTAAACTTTATATTTCGTTTCAATCATATCCTTCTATCCAGTTAAGCTGTTAAACCAAATACGGGGCTTTCATCGTTTGGTTTAACCGATTGACCAAAACAAAAAGATGTGATTGAAATGAAATATAAAGTTTAGGGACTAGATTGAGACAATTTATAATTTAGGGACCAATTTAAAATATAATGATATAAAACATACGTCTCTCTCTCTCTCACACACACAGTCGATGAATATGTATATAATTTGTTTATTCATTGATTCTTTTGCTCACCTAGGTGACGACTATTTCTGGGTGATTGTCACACATCCAGCGAAGGAGAGGGGAGAAAAAAAAGTGCGCATTAGATTCTAAGATTGAAGATAGTTATATGGTTATGGAAATACATCGTCTTTATCAGTGATTTTTCAACACAATTTTAAGGTAACAGTTTTTATTCTTAAAGATTCATTTGCCTCCTCTATGTTTTTTGCTCCACTAATGCGTTGATTTTTGCTTTGTTTTGTTAATTTTTTTTCATCAGCAACTTCTACTGGTATGTTGGACCTAATGCTTATATTCTTTGGTGGTGCTATGACTTTGAGGTGAATTGCGTTGTCATTGGGACTTATTTGTGTGACTGTTGCATGTGTGAATCACACATAGTTATAAAGATATGTTTGGTTTGATGGGAATTGATGGTTGTTCTAATGGTTGTGTTTGAAATGGTGATTTTGGGGGAAATAAAATTGAATTTTGATTATGACCTATGGTGATTGTTATGCATAATTGTGAACTATGAATTTTGGTTCTTTGGTTGGATTTGCGTGTATACCATGTGACTAAAATATGATGATGTCTTAAGTTAGGTTGATTAATTTATTCTTCGAGATTGGTTATGCAATAGTTTGTGTTGGACAATGATACATACAATGAGATATAATAGTAGGGGTTAGATTGATTTCAGTTTCTTTAATTAAAACAAATGAAGGAAAATTATAATTATGAGCAATTTTTTTAAGTTTCAAAGTGCCTTTAGGCACAAGTTACAGAAGAAAGAGAAGTGGATTACTTAATTAAATAAGAAATAAGAAGAGAGAGAAGCGGGAAAATGGATTTCTTAGCAAATATTTTACACCGTTGGATTGAAATGGATTTGAGTTAGAAGCATCCTAGCCGCACACATTTGCGTAGTCACACACAGAACACACTTACAGATTCACAATCACACCATTTTTATGAATTGATTTTTGTGATTAAATGTTTGTATTTATGGTTGATTTTATTTTTTGGTTTTCTGTTTAAAATATTTGTCATAAGTATTTATGGAGCCAGCAACGACGCAACGATCCAGCACTGAATACACCATGTCCACAAGGAAAATTGGCATCCTTAGTTATGCTGCGGTGAGGTATTATAACTAATTAGTATGCATCGTTAGTTGTTGTTGGTTTTATAGGTGGTTTTTTTTTTTTTTTTTGTGACCCATTATTGGGTTACTTATGTTATGAAAATTTAGTGGTGGTAATGTTTTTCCTGTAATTGCATCTATTTTTTTTTTTTTATATATTTTGCAAGTTTTTCTTGGTTTCTTTACCTGGTTATATACAGTTGTCTAGCAGAAATATTCATTATTTTGGACATTGTTCTGAAATATTAATTGTCTAACAGAAATATTCATTATAATTGCCTTATTCTGCCTCCAACTGCTTAAATGTTGGTGGGTATTAGAACTTTACTTTATTCATGGAGGAAATTTACAAAAGGATTAAATATCTAATTCTTGAATTTGTAGATTGTTTGGTCCCAAAGATTGAGTTACTACAATTAAAAAAGAGAGACAAAGTTGTAGTGTTGCAATGATATCGAGAAGGAATGCAATGACTAACTATGCATGATTATGAAGAAACCAAAACATCAATGTAGCGGCATCATAACTGAACCCTAAGAAATTCAGTCTTGGCATTTCTGAATGAACTACCGATTCATTCAGTTCATGACCAAGTTACATGTATATGTTCTTTTTATTCTCCACTGTAACTACGATTTATTTATTTTCTGTAACACCCATGATGACATTGAGGGGATGACACAAAGTGTACCGATCAGATTTGTGTATTTGTTTTTGGGTAAATCATATTTGTGCCTGTTAGTGGTTCAACTAATGAATATGTGTAATCATCTTCCTAAACTCAATTTTTTATATTTGTTTGTCTTACAACGGCTTTAATAATGACATCTCTAAACAAACTGGCAACCTGACTATGCTCAAGGCTTTATGTCGTGAATTTAATAGCTTGAAGGATATGCTATTAATTTTGAATATAACTTAAGACTATGTTTGTATTATATGGTAGATTCTTTTTTCGTTACATGTTTTTCTTTGCTAGCAATGTAGTTTGGTGTCAGCTAATATTATTAAAATAATAAGGTTGAACATTGTTTTGACGACTTTGCAGGTCGTATTCTGAAGGTAATGAGTATTCTTGAACATCTGAAAAAATCAAGTATACCAAGTGGCTCTCTGACATGCTATGTGTAGGATGAGTTGTGGGAAAAAAAATTGTATTTACATAAGATAATTTTGGTGTTCATTTATTTATTTTAGTTTTTATTGCTATTGTATATAATTGTTTTGTGGGTAATGCCATTGGGATCTTGGAATTGATAAGTTGAATTGGATTGATTACTTTATTATAGTGGATCACATTGAGGGATTGATAATAAGAGTTATTGAGAAGGGTTGCAATTTTATTATTGATTGATGCTTTAAAATATGGAATGTTCAAAACCAAAAATTTCTTATTTATGTGGATGTAGTTCTTTAGTTGGACTTGCGTGTATAATATGTTTTTGAGTTAAATTGAGTAATTTATTGTTAAGATTGGTTATGCAATGGTTTATGTTGGCACATTGAATAGTTTTTGTTAGGAGATTGAATGATTTATGCTAGGCAATGATGCAATTGATGTAAGAGAAAACTCTATTGAAAATGGCAAAGGTTATATTGATGTTAATTTTTTTATTAAAATAAATGAAGAAAAAATTATTTCAAAATTAAAATTTTTTTTTTTAAGTTTTAAAGTGTCTTTAGGCACAAGATATCACAATAGGCTTGTGCAGATTCAATAATGGGGGTGAAAGTTTGACTAATTAACTTGGAGAATTTTCTCTCAATCATTGTTATCTTGAAGGTGGGAGAAAATGATGCATACATGATAGAACCTTGTTGGTACTACAATGGTCGGTGGTGTCTCAACCCCAACTAATCAATCTAATATTCATTAATCAGCCAATTTTTTTTTAAAAAAATTAGAAATATAATATTTTTAAACTTAAGGAGGGTATAATAGTCCACAAACTTTTCTCATAGAATGCTCACTTCCATGGCCATCCTTTGTAGAAAGTCTAAGCTGGTTGATTGTTTGGTAGGTTTTATTCACCACACTTGTTTATTAGGCATACAATGAGTTGAATAGATATTTGTCAGCTTTGCTCTAAACAATTTTTCATATGCCAATACTGCAAATTGTTATAATTTAGGAAATATCCTAAATGATATTTAGACATAATTGAATACATTCATTGAATCGGTAGTGAACTCCATTTAACATTGAAGCTCACAATTGATCTAATGGTTGCATTGAAACTATATCATTAGGTTCTCAAATTAGGTCCCTATAACATTGCTCTATAATTTATACCCTAAAATTATGATCTTGATTTTCTATCGTTCCTCAATTATTGATTTGAGTACATTGCCCAATTAACCATTCAAAACAGTCTTGTGAATTATTTTTATAAGA